CTCAGCTTTTACTATCGTTTATTACTTCAATTATACTTGATATCACTTAGAACAATCTGCCATTTGGAAATCTCAGTATAGCCTGGAGCTTAGTATTAGATCTGGCTGCTATTGTAACATGTACAGCATATGACATTAATGTATCAAAATTAGATTGGATCATCCCTCCTGGTTAAATTTATTTCACATTTCTTTTGTATTCAGTTAACATAAACCTATTAGGGAAGCTGACACATGGGGATGGCTGTATAGGAAGGATATTTTTAAAGTATTTTGATTAAAAAATGAAATTATAGAGCCCTGGCTTTTGAGTTGTGTAATCTTTTTTGGTTTTTAAAGATGTCATAAAGCCTAAGTCCTGCATTTATATCATTCAAGTCTATGTGTGGTGTAAATAATGAGAATTAAAACTTAAACAATATTTTTATTTTTGAGACCTACCATCAGTATTTAGAGCAATAAGCACATTTATGGTTTCCAAAATAAAAAAATATATATTATTATTTAATCCACTTAAACCTAAAAAAAAAGTCTTTCTTAAAAGAAAAAAAAAGTCTTTATACTTTATTTTTAAAATAGATTCTGGTCTGTAGATTTAGCTCGGCACTATCTTTAGAGTAATAATAGTTGCCTGTATCTTATAATCCATCAGTGTATATGAGAAGGTGTTTATTGCTTAGTAATACAAATTTTAAAGTTCAGGAATTTACCTTGTATTCTCAAATACTTAATGAAATCCATAGTGATTAGGATTTTCTAGATAGGTTGGTGTTGGGGACTTGAACCATTAGAATTCGCAGGCTCAGCTGATCTGGCTACCCCCACCGCAGCCCCTCAATGCTATTGCCATATAGCTGTTTTTCACCACTGGTTCGGACAGCGAATCCCAGTTGTCCCTGTCCAGGGAGGAGCTTGTCACCAAACCTGTCAGTCGTAACTGCAGCAAACAGCCATTGTCGTTAAGCAAAGATGAAAAAGATACCAAGTGAGTGGTTCGAGATAATGCCATGAAGATTTGGGATGTCACCAAGTGCCTGGAAGAGTTTGAGCTCCTGGGATTAGCATGTGAGAAGACTAAAAGCATTGTGGACAAGAAAGTTGTCCCCCCAGTTCTGTATCTGTAACCTGGCTGATCTGGAGGACTGTCTTAATGAACTGTGGGAAGATAAGGAAGGAAAGAGGAAGATGAGTAAGAACAATGCCAAAGCCTCGAGCACCCTGCACCAGAAGATCTGAAAATACAACGGAGATTTTGTGTCCAGTATTACACATGCTAAGCAGAACCCTGCACAGTCTGCAGATGAAAATGCTGAGAAGAATGAGGATTCAGAAGGCTCTTCAGATGGGGCTGAGGACGGAGTCAGTGCTGCAGCCTTCTTAAAGACAAAATCAGAAGCTCCTTCAGGGAGTCACAAGTTCCTCAAAAATATGGAGGATAGAGATGACCCAGAAGATTGAGAAAAGGATGAAGAGTGGGACACAGGTTCAATGCTGTCTAGCTCAGGCTCGGGAGAAAAGGCAACACACCGTGTTGGCCTCAAGATTCCTTAAAAGGCCCTAGCCACACTGGAGGACAAGAAGGTCACTAAGAAAAAACAGGAGGACAAAGCAAAGAAGAAACACGATAGGAAATCTAAGCATCTGGATGAGGAGGAGGGAGGATAGTGAAGGTGGGGAGTGGGAAAGGGCTTGAGATGGAGTGCCCTTGTTAAGGAGAAACCAAAAATGTTTGCCAAGGGAACTGAGATCACCCATGCTGCTGTTTCAAGAAACTGAATGAGAACCTACAGGCACGAGGCAAGAAGGGAACTGATCGTGCAACCCAGATGAGCTGCTACAGCTGCTGGTTCAGATTGCTTCTGAAAACAACATTGGGGAAGTTGTCATCGTCAAGATCAAGTTCTATGACTACAACCCCAACCTGTCCACATACATGAAGCCAGAGATGTAGCGGAAGTGCCTGGGCTGCATCAGTGAGCTGATGGACATCCTGTTTGCAAACCCCAACATCTTTGTTGGAGAGAACATTCTGGAAGAGGATGAGAACCTGCGTAATATTGACCAGCCACTGCATGTCTATGGCAGTACCCTAACTGTGGTGGAACGAATGGATGAAGAATTTATTAAAATAATGAAAACTACTGATCCTAACTCCCAAGAGTATGTGGAGCACCTAAAGGATGAGGTACAGGTGTGTGCCATTATTGAGCATGTGCAGTGCTACCTGGAAGAAAAGGGCACCACTGAGGAAATCTGTCGTATGTACTTGAGGTGCATTCTCCACACCTACTGCAAATTTGATTACAAGGCCTATGAGCAGCAGCTTATGCTCCCTAAGGGCTCCTCAAAGTCTGACCAAGATCAAGCAAAAAATGAGGGCAAGAACTCAGTTGTACTGATGGAGAAACTTTGCAAATACATTTATGCCCAAGATGCACAGATTGTATATCCACACTTGTGCCATTCTCTGCCATATCTCCTGCTGGCACCAGGCCCATGACCTCATGCTTATGAGCCACCTACAAGACAGCATTCAGCACGTGCAGATACTGTACAACCACACCATGGTGCAGCGGGACATCTGTTTCTTCCACCAAGGCCTGACCAAGGATAATCATAATGCCCTGCTGGACATCCAGTCAGACGGCAAGGCCAAGGAGCTTCTGGACCAGGATCTGTTGCTACATAGCCTATAGGAACACGACCAGGAGCAGGAGAAGGTGGAGTGGTGCTAGCAGGTGCCCTTTTACCTGCACATCAACCTGGATCTGCTGAAGTGTGTTTATCTGGTGTCTGCTATTTTCCTGGAGATCCCCTACATGGCCACCCAAGAGAGTGATTCCCACCAACCCATAACCAGAAAGCAATTCCATTACCAGCTACAGGTGGGCTAGTGACACCTTTGCTGGATCCTCATGAATCAATGAGGGAACATGTGGCTGCTGCCTCCAAGGCTATGAAAATGGGTGACTAGAAGACCTGCTTCAGTTTTAACAATGAGAAGATAAATGGCAAAGCGTGGGACCTTTTCCCTGAGGCCAGCAGAGTCTGAACCATGATGGTTAGGAAGATTCAGAAAGAGTCACTTGCAGACCTACTTCTTTACCTACAGCAGTGTCTATGACTCCATCAGCATGGAGACACTGTCTGACATGTTTGAGCTGGACCTGCCTACTGTGTACTTCATCATTAGCAAGATGATCATTAACAAAGAGTTGATGGCCTCCTTGGACCAGCCAACAAAGACAGTGGTGATGTACTGCACAGAGCCCACTGCCCAACAGAACCTGGCTCTGTAGCTTGCAGAGAAGCTGGGCAGCCTGGTGGAAAATAATGAACAGGTGTTTGACCATAAGCAGGGTACCTGTGGTGGCTACTTTTGAGACCAGAAGGATGGCTACTGCAGAAACGCAGGCTACATGTGCCTGGGATGCCTACTGCTAGTAGCAGTCTCAGACAGCCTACTGATCACTTCTGTCCCCAGGGCCTAGACCATGGGTGGGGAATGTCTGGCCCACCAAGGAAACCGCAGGTGGGACTCAAAATTCAATAAATCTAGGAGCTTTTTTCATAGCTAGTTTTTAAATTAATGATTTTGTATGGCCCACAAATGATGTTATAAATATCCGATGGCCCTTGGCAGAAGAAAGGTTCCCCACCCCTGGCCTAGACCATTAAACAGCCTTTAAGTCCTAAACCATACCCCAGTCATTAAAGGCCTATTTAGAGTTTAAAAGCTAAACAAAAACTATTAGAACACTGACTCTAGACTTTTTTTTTCTTCTCTCGCTTGTGTGTGTGTTACATACTCTCACTTTGATAGACTCTCTGCTCAGAAAAATATACAAAATTTTACAGATAACTTCCAAATATTCACAGAATCTTTGAACCTAGGTTAAGAACTCCAGAGAGCCTTTCATTAATTGGACTTCTTTCTTTAAATTACACATTTAACGTTTTTCCTACCCCTTGGTGTTTAAGCCAAAAAAACACACACACATATTTCAGAAACAGAAATTGCCTGTATGTTAGCTCATACTAAAAATAAAAATATTAATCACACTTATCCTAGTTTTTTCTTTCAGACTTTACCATCTACAGTGTGTCCACTTATCTGAAAGTAATAGAAAGGTCATGTGAGATATGACTCAAAAATGGATTCAAATGTTTGCAATGGAAGAATCAATAAACGTGCTAAGATAACCAAATATTGTATTAAAGTACATGTTCAGAAAGTAATCTCTGTGAGGAACACTCAAGACTGATGGGTACTAGGTTCATTTTTCTAATAACTTACAGAAATTCAACTTTGAGATGCTTTGCTTTTGATAAGTTTAATCACCATAATGTCATCTCTCTCCGATTGCCAAAAACATCTTTGTAAGCGCCACAAATATTTAACATTGAGAGTCTAGCAACTCTCAAGAAATCTATTTTGGATGAATTTCAGAGGCAGAGTTTCATAGGCAAAGAAAAACTTGGAAATAGATTTGTTAAACCAAATATAGTCAACTTTCTCATACTCAATAGATGATTACCCAATTTATGAATTATCTATTTCTTTTACTTCTCTTCCTGTTGCATGCTTTAAGCCAGTTCACTGCTCATTAGCACTTGCAGAGAGTGATCAGAAACACAAGAGGAATCTTAAATCAGTCACTTTTTAAAAACACTCTTAAACAATCTTTTAAGAGGTTTGGTAGTGGAAAATTGGTGCAACTGCCAGTTAAGGAGAGTATTTGGGCTGTATGTGAATCTTTTTTGTCTAAGTTTTGTGTTTTCAATTAACTGTTGACTGTTAAAAATTATCTGGTCTTCTGCAGTGTCTCCTGATGTCTTTGAATGTTTGTTTCATGTGTTGTAAAAAAATGGTCAAATGCAATTTTTAAAATATGGCTTTTTATTTCTTTACCTTTTAATCTTTTTATAATATGTTAACAGTAGTTATATAAATACAGGACTTTTCTAAAGCACTATGAACTATTTTCTTGGTTTTTCAGTTGAGACATTTAGGAAATGATGAAGTACACATTGTTTGGTCAGAGCATACTCGAGACTACAGGAGAGGAATTATTCCTACAGAATTTGGTGATGTCCTAATTGTAATATATCCAATGAAAAATCACATGTTCAGTATCCAGATAATGAAAAAACCAGAGGTAAGAACTTCTTATTTTACATTTTAGTAATGTATTTTGAGTTCTCTGTGCGTTTGTTCCTTTCCTTTCAGAAGGGTTAGACTAGGCATCAAGTTGTGAAATGGTGGGAAATGAAACAAACTCTGGTAGCTATGTGAATTGTGTTAGTCTCTTTCAGAAGGAGCTAAAACAGGAAAAGTAGCAAGAAACTATGTTAAAATGGGAGAAGGCTTGGTAATGCCAGAATGGAAGTTGTTTTATGCTAAGCTCACAAAAGGGCTTACCTTTTATTGAAAGAATGATTACTGTTTCCTAAAAGACACAGTAAGAAGTAATCATTTCCTTTAGAACAGGAACATATGATTCCTGTATTTTTAGTTGATACGTCTTATTAAGATTACGTGATTATTTAGTTATGTCAATAAGTGAGAGTTCTAAAAAGTTTTGTTTTTTTTTAAGCCAAGTAGTTCTAGTTGGCTGTTTTATAGTGTAGGTTTGAAACACACTTATGAAAGTATTTTCTTTCAAAATAGTAAATGTTTGTCCTTCTTACTTTTTAAACATTGAACACGTTTAAGTTTATAGAAAACTTAGTTTTTGACGGTAGATCATGAATCTTAAGGATTTCTTGGATTAATTTTCCTATGTGTGAATTTAAGCTATGGCCGGGTGTTTTTTTTAGGGTTCATCTAAACCAGAGGTCAGCAAACTATGGCCCACTTTCTGTTTTTGTATAACCCACAAGCTAAGAATTTTTTTTACATTTTAATGGGTTTTTCTTTTTTTAAAAAATTGAAGCATAATATACAGCAGAGATAATATGTGGCCACAAGCCTAAAATATTTACTGTATTATTCATAGCTAATGCCCTTTCCTTCAGCTGCCACTTGTACCAACCATAGTCAAGTAGAATAACTTTTGAAATTGTCAGTCATGTGATAGAAAATGACAATTATCTAACATAGATTTTTTTCTAATAAATTATGTAATAGAAGTGTTTTAGGTTTTATAACAATGCTAGTATCACACAAAAATAATGAAAAACTAACTTGCTGCCTGTAAGAATGTGTATCTTTTCCTGTGTTGACTCAGTGGAGGAAGAGGAATTTATTTCCAGTGTTGGATTTTTTTGTACAATTGAGGCTACAAAAATTTGAAAGTTGGCAGGGAATATAAACTATTTAGTTTGTTACATGAAGTACACAGTTCTTTTGAATGAAACCCTGTAGACCTTTAGCATTTCTTGTTTATTGTCCTAGTATGAATGACCCATCATGGAAAAGAATTGAATTTGAATAGTATTTCTACTGAAGAAAGAACTAAAGGGAAGGCAGAAACATTTTTGTATGCAAACGGTGTCTTGATTGTTCTTATATACAACCTTTCTTCAATTTTAGCATAAAACTATGTTCTAACTTTTCAATTAGGTTCCCTTCTTTGGTCCACTGTTTGATGGTGCCATTGTGAATGGAAAGGTCCTACCCATTATGGTTCGAGCAACAGCTATAAATGCAAGCCGTGCTCTGAAATCGCTGATTCCACTGTATCAAAACTTGTATCCTTTTTAACAGTATGGTTTCTATTCTAATACTTGTCTGCTTTCCAAGGTAAATGTTTCTTCTGTTGTTAAGACCTTTGAATTTCTGTTTATTGATATACAGGTGATGGAGTTCCTCTCCAGTATTTGAGCACTGATGATAATTGAATGGTGTAATTTCTCTTTCACACTTTTAAATCAGTACTTAAATTACCTTTTGGTTAATTAATTAGAGCCCCATTATCTGTTAGGTACTCTGTTACTCTGGATGTGCAGAGATTACCAAAACAGTCATCGGAGAGTACTCAATCTAGTTAAAGAACTACACCGTTTTCAGTATATGTGCTTACATGTGCTGCAGTAGTTATGCAGCATATTCTGGAAGTATAATTACAAGGAGCCTCTTATTTAGCTGGAAGAGGGTGTGGTCTCAGGAAACACTTATGAGAAATTCGAGGATTGAACCAATCTTGAAGGATGATTGAGTTTATTGGGTAGATGAAATTAAGAGCATTCCAGAAGCAGAGAGAACATAGAGACGTTGAAGTTTGAGAGGACTGGAGTGTTTAAGAACATGGTTACTGGAGCCAGATTGCCTGGCCTCAGATGGTGGCCATCACTTTCTTAACTACATAGCTAGCATTGGGCAAGTTATTCAACCTCTCTCAGCCTCAGTATTTTATGTATATAAATTGAGAGTGATAATAATATCTAGCTCGTGGTATTATGAGAACTGAATGAATCAATATGTGTAAAGCTCTTAGAACAGTGTGCCTGGGACATGATATGCATACAATTTTAAATTGTTTTCTGATACTCCTTTGTAAAATAGGTTTGTGTTTTCCTTTACTTTTTCTATATAATTAAAAAACATTTTAATTCTTTTTTTATATAATAAATTATGGATTTAAGCTTTACAGAAAAGGCTTTTTAAAATATTCCGTTCTCTTCCACATGAAATGGATGTATCATAAGTCTGCCACATGCATTTGCTTTTGATGAAAATTGGCTTACGTGATCTGATTTTTATGTAATTTCTCATGTATTATGACATCATGAAATGGGATTATAGGTGGATCATGGCATGTTATGTTAATTAACTCGTATTTGAAGTGTTCATTGTAGTGAAATATAAGGATTCAGTTTATTATTTCCTGCATAGCTCTAGAAAAGTAACTAATCTTATAAGGAATATACCGATTATTACCCATTAACTAATTTTATCCACATTGTCAGTTCCATTGAATTTGTCTTCTTTCTGACCTTTGCCTCTTGACAGTTCTCCTGATTCTGATGTTCATCCTGAGGTTAGTGTCCTCTACCATGTTATTTAAAAAACAATTGAGCCCTGGCCAATGTGGCTCAGTTGGTTGAGCATCGTCTCCCATGCACTGAGAGGTGGCCAGTTCAATTCCCCTTTCAGTCCCCAGTAGGGGGCGTGCAGGAGGCAGCCAGTCGATGTTTCTCTCTCACATCAGTGTTTTTCTCCCTTTCCTTTCCTCTCTCTCTCAAATCAATAAAAACATACTTTAAAAAAACAACAAAAAACATTTTTTAAAATGCCTTAAATCTTTTGGGAAAGTGGTAAGAGAGATTAGATTGTAATACAAAACTGTATTTGCTTCTTGTCTTATATGACAGGACCTTGATTTATTGAGCAAACACAAACTGTTTCTAGCCCAAAGTGCAATTAACATTTAATATGCACACTTTACAAAGTAGTTCATTATTTATTTTTTAAAAAATATATATTGATTTCAGAGAGAGGAAGGGGGAGGGAGAGAGAGAGAGAGAGAGTTGAAACATCAGTGTGATGATAGAGTTGTCATTGATCGGCTACCTCCTGCATGCCCCCGACGGGGGATCGAGCCCCCAACCCGGGCATGTGCCCTGACCGGGAATCAAACCTCGATGTAGATCCTAGGTCGATGCTCAAACTGCTGAGCCACACCCAGCTGGGCTACAAAGTAGTTTAAAAATGCAAAGTGTTCGGGATAGAGCTTAATTTCTTTTCCCTGCACCTAAGTTCATACTCTTGAGAGCTATTTCAGATTTGTATGTTACACTAGAGGTATGATAACTAGATTTGCAGTTAGAAAACACTGATTTTAACTCAAAGCTCTGCCTTATTATCTTGGCCAAGTCATAGAATCTCTAAACCTCACTTTCTTCATCTGTAGAAACAATGCTAATACCCATCTCGGAATTGTTGTGAAGATTAAATGAGATTATGAATTTGGATGTGCTTAGCAAATGAAATAAGGTACATTTTTGGTGCAGTGATTAATTCTGTTATGTGTAAAGATTGCAGTCAATATAAAACAACTCTCCCCAACACCGTGGAATTGCCTAATTGGGTTTTTGTGTTTGCTTGGTTGGTAGGTTAATTGATTGGATTGGATTTTCAGGCCTGCTTCGTGAAGTTTGCCGTAATAGTTAAATCTTGCTGAGACGTTAATAGATACCACATTGGAGAAAATTCTAAGATGGAGAGAGATAATTTCAGATGAAAACAGTAAACATGAACACTTTATTTGCACAGCAAATATGAACAATTTCTATCAGCAAAATTACTTCTTGAACACTCAGTGAAAACATTAAATAAGACAGATCAAACAAATTTTTCTTGACTTGGAAGCTTGAATTTAGAAGCTATATGGAAATTATTTTCCCATACTATTAAAGTATATAGTAGAGATACTCCTAGCCTTTGCTAATCTGAAGAACACATAGTTATCTTTGACAAAGATTCAGAAAGCTTTGTATTCTAAATGTTGGGGAAAAGGACTTCGTACAGGTGGATTACTTGATTTTTAAGTGAAAGTTTATATAACAAATTATGACCAGATATTTTATTTTAAGATATTGAAATATGAGTCTGTCTTTTAATTTAAAATAATATTTCAGAAATATATTAAATTTTTAAATGTATGCTTCTGACAAATCTGGATAAGGAAAAAAATCATGTGTTCTAAAACAGATCAATAAAACTTAGCAAAAATTGAGATAGAAGTAGGCTTTGAAAACTACCAGAGTTACTACTTTAATTCTCATAAGAGAAGTGACGGGGCAAAATAATATGTAATAAACTCAATTATATTTGATAATTGCCCTGCTGTGTCAGTTATTTTATGCCCAATAAAAGTACCCACTAAGATTCCACAGCATAAATTGTGCTATTTATGATCATTAAATACAGTTTAAATTTTATCCTTAGAACACTTCTGTAACTATGAATCTAATGTTGTTCACTAAATGAGGACAATATTGATTGTCATATGCTGCCCAAATCGATCTTGCTAGCAGCCAGAATTACAGTAATCTGTCAGTATTGATGACTGTCTTTCAGGCTTTGAAACCTCTCCTTCACTTCACTTGTCATTTCTTGCATTACTTGTACTTGAAAAGCATTTTCTTGAAATCTCTGACTTGGTCAGCTAGGTACTTTTTTGTCTCAAGCTCAATTTCTTGGTTTGAGCCTGCAATTACAACTGAAGTATAACACTGGGAAGGAAAAGGAGACAGATTCTGGGTAAACCATTGGACCTGTAGGGTATTTCAAGTTGATCTTAGTTATCATTTATCAGTTACCTGTTGAAAGAGAGAGAGATTTGGGTTTTTGGAGGGAGTTGTTTAGTTATTTTGTTTTTGTTTTTTGGCTTTTTTGCATTGGAAATAATAATTCCAAAGCATTAATTTCATGATCTTAGCTATCATGACTATTTTTTTTTATTGATTGATTTTAGAAAGGAAGAGGAAAGAGAGAGAGATTGATTTGTTGTTCCACTTACTTATGCATTCATTGGTTGCTTCTTTTATGTGCCCTGACCAGAGATAGAAACCACAACCTTGGCATATTGGGACAACGCTCTAACCAACTGAGCTACCCAGCCAGGGCTCTATTTCTTAAAAAAAAAAAATTTAAAGCATTTACTTATTTTGACCCTGGAGACATTTTGATTATGTATGTATGTTAAATATGATTCTATCATGTATGTTCTGTTTCTTCCCCGTTTTTAATGTGAGACTTACTATACATAGAAATTTTCAGAAGTTACAGCACATAATCATGTTGTATTAGGGTTCTTAGAAAAACAGATTCAATACGATACATGTGCACATACATAGAGAAAGACTGATTTTTAAAAATTGGCTCATACAATTGTGGGGACTAGCAAATCTGAAATCTGAAGTTCCTGAGTAGAGTTGATGTTGCAGTCTGAGTCAGAAGGCATTTGGAGATAAAATTCCTTTCTTCCTTGGGGACCTCAGTCTTTTCTCATAAGGCCTTCAGCTGATGGATGAGGCCTACCTACATTATGAAGAATATTCTGCTTTACTCAGAGCCTCCTGATTTAAAAGGTAATCACATCTAAAAAGTACCTTCACAGCAACATCTAGGCTAGTGTTTGACCAAAAACGGTGCCATTGCCTAGCCACGTTGACATAAAATTAACCATCTCGCCCCTGCCAAGTGGCTCAGTTTGTCATCCCATACACCAAGATTGTGAGTTTGATTTCCAGTTAGGGCACATACCTAGGTTGCGTGTTCAATCTGTGGTCAGGGCGTGTGCAGGAGGAAACCAATTGTGTTTCTCTCTCACATTGATGTCTCTCTCTCTCTCTCTCCCCCCACTCCCCCTTCCCCCCTTCCTCTCTAGCTAAAATCAATAAACATATACTTGGGTGAAGATTTTTTTTAAAAACCATCTCACATGTCCTCTTTTTTTCTCAAGTTTTTCTTTTTAACCTTTTTTACAGCAAAATGTAATTAGAGAAAAGCATATAAATTATAAATGTACTGTATATGAATAATTACAGTTTAACTGCCACCAGGTTAAGAAATAGAACTTTAGTGCTATTCTATCAAAAATATTTATTGATCACTAACATGGTAGTGGTAAAGATTTGGAGAGATGCAAAGACAAATTAGGTAGTAATGTTGTCTTTAATAAGCTTATAATTTAATGGAGGAGAGAATACTATGTACATTATTATATCACAAGAAACAATGTGTC